AGTCAGTGGGCCAGCTGTCTGTCCTCCAGATTTCTTGGCACAACTTAGTGAGCCCATCCAAAAGCAACTGCCACTGAGCAGAGAGCTCCTCTGAGGGGCCCTGTGGGACAGAGCCGAAGTGGTCCAGAGTTTCCAAGGCGATGGTCTTCCAAAGACTGGAGGACCTTGTCTTTCTCCCAGGGCATAGCTGATAGATCTGAAGAGTCAGCCTCTTTGGTTCTCAGTGGAGTACTTTAACCACTGGGCCACCAGGGTTCCAACACAAGAAGCGATAAGGCGATGCCAGTCTTTTTCAAATCACCTCATCTTGGTGCCTGATTTCCTAGGTCTGATAAGGAAGCTCTGAGGTTTTATTATTTTTAGTCAATGGCCCTTTCCCAAACCCACCCCTTGGCAGCCGTGCCAGGGTCATATCTAAACCAGGGTCGTATAAATAGGGGCTGTTTTCTTCCCCTGGCACCAAGTCCACGGAGGAGCACGGAGCTTCCACAGACTTTTTCCTAAGCAAAGGAAAATAAGGAGCAGAGAGACCATGCACGCCACAAATGGTGAGTAGAAACCTGCCCCATGCTCACCTATTTCTCCGCCATCCTCCCCCTCCAGCCTGTGGCAGCCGCTGATGCGTTCACCACCTCTGCAGCCCTGCCTTTTCCAGAATCCTTACGGCAGCTGCAATCTCAGAGCACACTGATTTTTCCACTGGTTTCTGCCACTAAACAGTAGGCCTTCATGTTTCCTCCAGGGGTTTCTGTGGCTCGATGGTTCATCTCTTCTGATGATCGAGAGATGATGTTCTATTGGATGGATGTCCCTCTGGTTGTTGTGTAACCATTGTCTACAGAAAGGACATTATCATTCTTGAACTCATTGCCATGGGGTGGACTCTGACTCCCAGAGACCCTCCAGTGGCTTCCCAAGGCTCTAGGTCTTAATGAGTAGATATGGTCCATTTGTCTTCTGCAGAGCCACTCATAGATTTGAATCTCCAGAGACGGGAAGTCTTTGGGGAGCAGTTTAAGTGATTGACTGCTGGCCGAAAGGTTCAAACTCATCAGCTACTCTGTGGGAGAAAATTTCTCCCATAGAGTCTGCTTCCCTAAAGGTTCCATCCAACATCAGAAACCCCAGCTGAACTGTCCTGCATTGTCCTAGAAGGTCGCTGTGATTGGGACTCAATTCAGTGGAATGGGAGCAGTAAGATTTTTTTTTTGTTTTAGTTTTTTCTTCTTTCTTTTTTAATTTGTTTGCTTACAAAGTTCATATCCATTGTGTTTCACACTATGCATCATTCACATTATGTTTCATACAATCATTCTCATGCATTATGGTTTAGAAAATCCATCACCATTGGACCTTGCCTATCATTACCCTGTCTTTTCACCCAGATCTTTCCCATGTACTTCTCCCCGTCCCTCCATGCACCATGTAACCCTGTGGAGAGGAGCTCTGGTGGCTTAGTTGTAAGGAATTGAGCTGCCAGTACAAATGGTATGCAGTTCAAATCCACCAGCTTCTCCTCAGAAGGATGAACAATCCCCTCTGGTGCGATTTACTGCCTCTGAAAACCTGCAGGAGGGTGAGCTGTGGGTCGGTTCTGACTCAATGGTGTGCAACAACAGCCACGACGGTGCACTGTAGCCAGAGCTAATATTCATAATCAATCACAGTGACATTTCACCTGCATGTGTTTCAAACGCCTGCTGTTGTTAGGAGATTAACCATCCTCCTCCCAGGTACTTTTATAGTCACTGATTTTGTCAAATTTTCTGGTATTTTAGCTACTGTATTGCGGTGCTTGGTCTTTGTGAACTTATGTTGATAACTTTGTTTGAGAATGAAGTAGTAAAGAAAGAGGGGAGTTTTTAAAAACCTGCCATTCAGTTACGACTAATACTGTAATTCATTGTAGAAAGATTCGACAAAATTATTTTCTTGATAGTCAGTCATATATTCTAAGAAATATTACATTTAAGCAATTTCTAAAGGTATTTCTCACATATGGTTCTATCATTAGGATTAATAAACATTAATATAGTAACACAGGTTTCTAAGGATTCCATACGATCTAGAACAGGAGGAAGTGCGTGGATGGGGGTGGAACCATGAGTTAGTGTGCTAGGTGCCACCAAACTGGTGTCTTCACCAGTGAAATATCTTTTTCGATTCTTTGACCATTTTTTGAATGGGTTGTTTGTTGTTTGGTTATTAAATTACAAACATTCTTCATATATATTTTTTAATATTTAACTAAGTCTTTTCTCCCATTCTGTAGATTGTCTCTTGATGTTGTTGATAAAATATTAGGATGTACTAAATGTCTCTCTTTTTAAATATCCACAGTGAAGTTAGTTTGATATAAAATGCCGATTCCCGTACCCTAAAATTTGAACTTGCTAGAAGTTTAAGAAATATCCTCATTTGATATCAGGGTTTTCATTTTGTTGGCGTCAAGTTTGTATGTGCGTTGGTGTCCCATCTAAACACCTATTGTAAGACTAGCTACAGAAAATAAAAAGGGGAAAAAAACACTCCACTAGCTATGGAAGCATTGTCATTTTGTTTTATTCTAAGAGTTTGGCGATTTGGGTTCATACATTTAGATTGTGAATAACTTTTTAGTTATCTTTTAATAGGATGTGAGGTATGGCTCTGCCTTTGTCATTTGCAGATGGAAATTCAGTTGTCCCGGTAAAAGTTACTGAAAAGACTATGTTTTTCCCATCAAATGGGCTTCTCATTCTTGTTAAAGAAGAATGATCTATCTGGGTGGTTTGGAAAGAAATCACAACACATATTAGAGCAGGGCGGGGGAAAACCCAAGCCAAGACAAAGCAAAGCAAAGTACAGAGCTAAGTGAGAAAACACTGATTTCTGGAAGTAATTGAACATTTTTTTAAGGCAGGGAAGACTGCAAAGATACAGCCTGTTCAGTTCTTTGCCCATGTTTTGAATGGGTTGTTGGTCTTTCTGTTAAGTTGTAGGTATCCTATATATATTCTGGATGTTAAACCCTGTCAGATATATGGTTTCCAAATATCTTCTCCCATTCTGTAGATTGTATCTTTATTTTGTTGATAAAGTTGCGTGATAAAAACTAAAGTTTTTGATAAAAATAAGTTTCCATTAAAAATATATCAATAGTAAAGCTAGTTATAATTGGTTACTCAAAGAAGGCGAGAGAGAGAGAGAGACGGGGGGGGAGAGAGAGAGAGAGAGAGTCCAAGGATCTCAAGTGGAAGAGATTTCTGTTTTGCAATAATTACTACTTTTTATCCAGTTTGTAACTCTAAAGGTAGTTTCATGTAGTGGAATCACATTCTTCACAGTAATTTATACCTCTGGTGGCTTAGTGATAAGAAATTGTGCTACTAATGCAAAGGTACATGGTTCAAATCCACCAGCTACTCCATGGGAGAAAAAAGGGAAAATCTTCCCATGTAATTTACTGCCTCTGAAAATCCGCTGGAGGGTCAGCTATGAGTTGGTTTCAACTTGACAGCAAACAGCAGCAGCAATAGAATGAACTAACAGCAGGTCAGTTGATGGTCTATCAGTGCTCGGTAGCTCCTAAACCTAATAATCACTTCTGAGTTACATACAGAGCCACGTAGAC